AGCAAGTCACTAAGATCGACGGAGCTTGGCTCGTCTATTTTTGAGCAAGAACGTCTAGCCAATTATTTCAAATGCGTGTGAACGAATCGCGGGTTTCCCGCCTATTGGTAAGCCATTGGTAGCAAACCCTAAGGACGCGGCACCTGTTTTCATTTTTCGATCGTGGGAGGGGATCCATGTGCCGCTTGTACAGTGTATTGGCGACATCGCCAATGCCTGGTATCCGTTTTTCGCTTAACGTCAAGAATGTACAATAAACGGGTACCCAAATTGGTGGCACCCGCAGCTCGCACGATCGATGTGCCGTGGTGCATGCGTTAGGGTTGGCGGAAGAGCATATCGCGCCACAGGTGATAGCCTCGATTGATCGGCGTCGCCCACGGTCGCAGGCCAAAAAGTCTTGAGTCGTTGCGAATGGAATTGCTGGACGACCATCCACGCTCTGCCCTGATTGGCTGCGCATTTAAGTGTAATGGCAGCTCCAACCTGCCCGAGCCTGCAACTTCGATCCTGGCACCTATAGCTCGATGTGTCTAACCCACTGCAAATTTGCAGTGTGGGCACATTGGTGTGCCGATCGATATGCCAGGATCGATGTGAGGCCACGATCCTTGTAAAATGAAAACAGGTGCCGCGTCCTAACTGGCCGTTGAAGGAAAGCTGCTAGGATGAAGCTCGAGGATGGGCTTCCTTGCTCTCTTGGTGCCTCCTGTGGACAACTACTGCAGCCTAGCCACACAGGCTGAGGTCGCATCCCTGGCAAGTGTCAAGAAGTGGTTGGTGTCAAGCGTTGTTTACGGTTGACACCAAGTGGAGCCACGTTGGTGTCAATGTTGGGCAGATTGAGCGTTTTCCCGCGAATCACATTGGTCGGTTTAGCTGACACTAGGAGGGACAGTCCTCCGAATTGGTGTCATGACACTTGAGGGGGATACGACCTGAATAGCGTGGTGTTGCGAAGAACCACAAAGTTGCTCTCTTTAAAATGTCCTCGTTAGTAGCCACTTCTGAAACCTGTGTGATTGAATGGTATGTTGTACTTACAGAAAACACTGCCCCAGCTACGTTAAAGCCCGAGGTCAGCATGGTAAAATTTCAAGTTATGTGAGGTTGAAATAGTGTTGGCGAAACCTTGAAAACCAGAACTTCGAGAATCAGGGCGGGGCGAAAGCGAAATCAGGCGGCGAGGAATCAGGCGAACGGGAACAACATTGCGACAGCTATTCCCGAACATCGAAGGGAAAGGGGTGGAAGCGATTCAACGTGCGACTCAACACCCCGCTCGCCCCACCCTACCACTTCCGTCCTTGCGATTGGTTGGAATTGGTGGGGGCGTCACTCTCGCCCCATCCCACCACTTCCGTCCTTGCGATTGGTTGGAATTGGTGGGGGCGAAACTCTCACGCGGTATAGGTACCTCACAATTTGGCGAAATTGCGCGACGCGCCAGCGCGCGAACTTTTCTCAATCCCATCAACCAAACTCGCACCGCAGGTAGGGCGACCGAACCTCGTCCAAATGGATCGACTTACATGCGCTTCCACGTTATGTTCATGCTGCAGGCGAGATCATATCGACGTTACAGGTGCCATTTGGTTTTACGGCCAGAATCGCGGGATTACAGCTTGGGGTTTCGATCCTTTCATCAAAGACAAATTTGCGAAGTGTGACGTCACTTCAGTCTGGTCGCGCAGACAAATTTGCGACATGTAGACCAAATTTGCTTGTCTTATGCTGTTTTTGTTTGGTCTGTTTTTCTGTACGGTGTAAAACGAACTAAACCCCGTAGGGAGCCAGGCACACTTTCAATGCATCAACCCTAAACACCTTGACAGTTCCCGTGTTTAGGGTTGATCCCTCCCAAATCGCACCACATTCAAGGCATTAACCCTAAACACCATGCTTCCCGTGTTTAGGGTTGATGCCTCCCAAATTGCGTTCCTGCCTTTAGGGGTTTTTTTTTTTTTTTTCAGCCCCTGCTTAGAATCACAGCTCCATAGATGTTTCAGAAAATCGCGTTTGACACGCGCCAAAAAAGAAAAACATGTTGACAAAAAACCTGACACGCGCACGAAACAATTTTGCGCCATCAGAAACAGACAAAACAACCGAAACTTGTAAGGTCACGGCAATGTAGCCACAATTGCGACCTTGTATTTACGAAAACACGAACACCACCTGGCAAACATTATCCCGCGCGAAACAGTGACAATTAGGAAGACCACCAATTATTACACATTTAATTTGATGTCAATATCACGTAAGAGCGTGTAGGTCGATTCATTTGCGAGGGGTTTGGTCGCCCTACCTGCGGTGCGAGGCTGGTCGATGGGATTGAGAGAAGTTCGCGCGCCGGCGCGTCGCGCAACTTTTCCTCACAAATTTCATACACAATGCATAGCCCCTTGAAAATATCTGGTTATGGATGTGTAGATGACTATAATACAAAACTTAGGGTATGCCCAAATTATCGGCACGGCAGGAACTGCTGAATGTATATTATAGTGAAAACAAATAACCACATTTCAATAACAATACATTTCGCGTCCAGCACCTTGCTGTCGTCTCCCTGGTGCGAGGCTTCTAGGTCGTCCTCCTGGCAGGTGGATGTGGGAGGGGAGGAGCAGGAGCAGGAGGGGGGAAGAGGCAAAGGAAATGCAAAGCAGGGAGAGGAGAGGCACATGTGAAGAGAATGGAGGGACCTATGGAGAGGGAGAGTAAGGAGGGCACATGGGAGGGAGCGGAGGGAGATGTGAGAGGCACGAGCAGGGGACGGGATTGGGGGGGAAAATGGCAGCACAACAAATGCAGCAGCAATTGCTTGCTCTTGGGATATGGCTGGCCTTCAGCTATCATATCCCTCTCACTCCCCTCAGCCCCACCTGCCGTGTGGTTCTCACCCATTGATCCCCTCATCTCATCCCCTGGGCTCACCTGGCGTGTGCCTCTGCCCTGGAGGGAAGCAGGCCAGAAGGTGGGGGTAATCAGGGCAGAGGGTGGGAGGAAGTGGGAAAGGGGGGGGAGGAAGCAGGGCAGGGGTTGGGGGGAAGGAGGGCAGATGATGGGGGGAATCAGGAGGGAGGGTGGGGGGAAGCTGGGCACGGGGTGGGGGGAAGCAGGGCAGAGGATTGTGGAAAACAGGGAAGAGCATGGAAGTAAGCAAAGAAGAAGGTGGGGGGGAGCTGGGGAGAATGAGGGAGGGAGACGGGGAAAGTGAGGGAGACGGGGAAAGTAGGGGAGACGGGAAGGTAGGGGAGACGGGGAAAGTAGGGGAGACGGGGAAAGTAGGGGAGACGGGGAAAGTAGGGGAGACGGGGAAAGTAGGGGAGACGGGGAAAGTAGGGGAGACGGGGAAAGTAGGGGAGACGGGGAAAGTGAGGGAGACGGGGAAAGTGAGGGAGACGGTGCATGCAAGGGCGTCGGGGAAAGGAGAGCAGTAAGTGGGGGAACGCAAGGGTGATTGTGGGAGAAAGAGGGGGGGGGGGGGGGGGGGGGGTAAGCGGGGGAACAGAGGGGTGTAAGTGGAGGAAAGGAGGGAGGCGAGGACGGAAGGGAGGGTGATAAGTGGTGAGAGGGCGGCCTGTCCACCAGGCGAGGGAAGGGAGTAAGGAGGGGGAGGGGATGGAGGGAGAAGGGGCCCGAGCTGGTGAGTTTTAATCGCGAAGGAGGGTGGGGCATGGGACGAGAGTGTGACGAGAGTCAATGCTGGGACACGACGGGCGGATAGGGCACGGGAGGTTGACACAGTGGAGGGGGGTGAGAGGGCAAGCGAGAACGACGATCAGGGCGACGGGGATGGCCTCCCTCCTTGCGAGAGCGAGTGGGCCGACGTGCGGGGCAAGCGTGAACCCCCCCCCTGTTCTCACTCCGTCTCATCCCCCCTGGGCCCCGGCGGGTGAGCGTATGCGATTCGGGTAAACACGGATGGAGCGGTCGAAGGCGGATGACGCGGGTAAACGGCGCGGCTGTCCTTGGTAAACACGGCTGTCGATGGCAACGCGGGTGACGCGGGTATAACGCGCCTAACACGGGGAAGGTACCGTGACGACCCTAAGCGCGAATGATCACCATGCAGTGGCGAGTGACTAGGGGAAGTGCGACAGCAGGAAGTGGCGACATGGTGGAGCACCCGTGAGCCAGAGAGGTGTGGGCCTCGCGACGAAGCGTGGTTGACGGGGAACTGGCGGGTCAAAACAGGGTACCATTACGAACGGTCCATTGCGTTTGGCGTAACACGTGTGGTTTTTTACTACTACGTACGTGTGGTTATCGCGAAAATGAGACAACGTTTACTGCCTAGTTGTTGGAGAGACAACGTTCGTGACACTCGTTGTGCTAAAACGAGCCCTTGGGGAAACTATTGTGGTGCTAACTGACGCGGACTAACTAGTTACGTGCAGAATCCCGTAGATTATGAGTACTCCTTGGTCTCCAAGTTATGTGTGAGGTGAACAGTGCACGTGCTGGGCGACGATCTGATCAGTTTTGGCGATTGAACACAGTAGCCAATCAGATGAGATCGTCGCAAGACAGTGGCTGGAGGTCGCGAGGGCTCTTTCAGAACAAGCCTGGTAACCCTGTTTTTGGCGAGTTCAAGTTCAAGAATCTTGAACTTGAAATTTGCCATGCTGTACTCGGGCCTTAACCGATCTGCACCCAATTCAAACCAGCAAAATTCTGACTCCTGTGGGTGCAACTAGGAGATTGCTTGCACGGCATCCGTTATTGAGCACTCGTTGACAAAAACACACGCTATTTTTGTACGATATAAAGGGCTCAATATTAGGCACACCAAGCATGACAGTTGCTGTCCACACAACACCACCACCCATCACTATTGCCGTCCCATAATTCCTGTCTCTTCAGCGTGCTTGGAACTCTTCCACTGCCTAGTCGCACAGTATCAACCAGCACGATCCTTGTTTGCCTCATTGCCTCCTTCCTTATCGCTCGTCGTTGCTTTCCTCATCTCGTTACCCTGGTCGTCGTACTAGCCAGCCATGGGCAAGCGAGAGGACAACGATTCCACCAACCTCCCGCTCGTGAAAGGTCTTTCCGTCATTTACCACTCTCTAAATAAAATGATTTTCCCTGCATTCATCATGTAAGCCATCGTCAAGCTTTAGTCTCTTCCCGCCAGCACATCACGTCCTTACCAACATCGTTCCGTCCTTTCAGCCTGCCTTGTCTCTACCCTAAGCTTCTTCGCAGAAACCAAACCATTCCAAATCTCCCGTCACGCACCTGATTTCCTCACCAGTGTGGTTCTTCGATGCGATTCCTCCCCCCCTCGCAGTGGGTCGGTTCGGGCGCGTGACGGTGGCGGAGCAGGGCGCGGAGGACCGCGACGCGGCGGCGTACAAGCGGCTGATGGCGCTCATGAAGGAGGAGGCGCGGCCCATCGGGTACCTGCACGGCCGGGGAGGTGAGAACTGGTGGAGGCTGAGAGAACGTGTGAGTGCCTGTGCGCTCCTGAGAGTACCTGCGAGTAAGACACGCGAGAGACCTCACTGCTGTGTATCCATCTGACGTTTGACCACTTTTCTATCAAATCTTCCCACCCTGAAGCCAGCATCGACCTCTGCAGGTCAGAGGTGCAAATGCGATTCAAGCCTATGAGCCACAGCATGTCTGCTAACATTTTCCTGCACAATTCCCATCCTCGTGCTGTGCTATGATGTCCCTTTGAACTCGCCGTGCTAGCAGCTCTGGACCATGACGACCTGAATTACTTGAGGGAGCACATCCGTGCGGAGGAGGAGACGGAGAAGCTAAGGCAGCACTCAGAGAAGAGGGCATTCGCTGCTCTTAAGATACGCTCCTCTCCCACGTGCCCTTTGTGCCTCTGTCTTCTTGCTGCTACCTTTCTCGACCACCCTGCCTTCGCGTGGTTCATGGGTTGCTGTTTGGCTCCTCCTCCTCAACCTCATCCCGACTTTTTTCACATATCTGTGATTTCAGACATCCTTGCTCTTTGTCCAGACGGTTCTGTATAATCTTGTTGTGTTGACCCATGCACGCAGCGGCATCCAAGACCGACAGCCCACAGCCACCAGCATTGGTCAGCCCTGCAGGCTCCCCCGCAGCACCACCCAAAGCAGCTCTCCCCAACAGGTGTGGCGGCACTGTTCATTGGATGTGCTAGCATGTTACAATGAACCCCCCTCTTCGCTTGGTGATGTTGTCGCATTCACTTTCAGAAATCGTCCATGCTTCAGCTAGCTTGTAAGTTTTCTAATTGATCTGCTTTTTTGTTGTGTTCTCATGACAGGCAAAAGACGCTTCTTAAAGCAATCGTTGAAGTGAAACCGAAACGGGCTAGGCTTGAGCCAAGCCAAGGAACGGAAGCGTTGGCACGAAGTAGGCAAGCATCAGATGGGCCTGTCAAGGCGTTCAGCCTGGGTGCTTCAGCAATAGCCTCAACCCCATCAAGTCTAGAGGACGCAAAATGCTCTCCTCCATCATGTGAAGCCAAGCAAGATACATCAGAAGACCATGATGCTAAACCACCTTCAGCGGAACCTCAAGGAGCTGGTCTCCTTGGTCTAGCATATGACGATAGTGACGAAGAGTGACCCCATTTGAGTTTGTACAGCACAATTAGGAACATGCATGCCTACATAATCCAGGCATGTACGATTGGGAATAAAATACGAGTGTAGCTGTACATGTGCAGCACAATTCGTTATATAGGAGATCCCAGTCAGGCATTCTCTACGTCTGATACCCAAGTTCATTTCACACTACACCGCAGAGCCTCAGGAAACGTTCCTGCCCGGTGTCAAGCTTCGGGCCAAGTGTACTTGGTGTCAGGCACCCCAGAAGGTCTGACACGAAACAACGATTTTGCCCCATGCCTGTCTATTCCACCTCGTGTCAAGCAGCCTGGCCCGAAGTTTGACACGGGTCAAGAACGCCCCCTCACTCACACTCTTTCGCCGAGCGAAGATTTTAGGCTGGGAAGAGGGTCCCGCACTTGGCGGACTGGAGGGAATAATAGCTTGCCCAAGGTTAGCCTAGAATGACGGGTAGTTCGGGAAAGGGAAAATCGCTCCGGGATTTCCGAGCATTCAAAATCCGTCGTTCTCGAATCCAAGAATTGTCGCGTTTAGTGTTCTAGCCGCGATTCTACCTCATCGAGCAGAGTATACAAAAGTCGCGCGCGCTGTCTGTTGAGGCAGTCTCGTTTCGAAATAGAGCAGCCACGAACGCTTCGATTGCATCGCTCTCTGTCCTGTCCCTTTAGCTTTCATTCGTTCAATACTTCAGAGGCTCCGTGACTTTCCTGTCCTTCCCACCTGCAGCTTCTCGCTGCTGCCGTCTTCTGGAGCTGGTATCTCAGTTTTTTTTCACAAGTCACCTACTATAGACACCCATCTCTATACTTATTTCGAGGCATACCTATATCTGGAACTTCTAGGCTCCCACACTCTCTCCCAGCTGAAGTTCGCTGCTTGTCGAAGTCTATCTGAGTTGACTGAATCTAGAATTTTTACATTCGAAGCGCCGTGAGTCGCGGCGCCTCAGCAGCCATGGCTACTCCGGAGCAGCTGGTGTTGGAGCTTAGCATTCCCGAGCAGCGGGAGAACGCGCTGCTGGATCTTAGCAAAGTGAGTCACTTAGTGGGACAGCAGAAAGCGTTCGATTCGAGCTTGTTGGCGTTGCGGGAGGATCAGCGCCGTGTGTTAACGCGTCATCGTGCGTTTCATAATTGTGTGCTTTTGCGCGGCAGAGACGGGAGGCGTATCCCGACCTCGCGTTGCTTCTATGGCACAGCTGCGGTACAATCACAACGCTTCTACAGGCACGTTTTCGCTTGATACAATCACAACTCTCCTACAGCCACGTGTACAGTCACAACTCCCACTTTCTCAGTATGTCACATGCGCTGTTCTGCTCTGTTATACCATGCTCTGCGTGCATGCACCAGGAGGCGGTAATTATCTACCCTAATAACATTACCTTCGACCCCATGCTATGTCATGCCGTGCTATGCTGTTGCATGCGTGCGTGCGCCAAACAGGAGGTGGTGGCGATATACCCCATGCTATCGCCGCCCACGCTCACAGCGGGCGCGTCCAACCGCGCGTGCAACGCGCTCGCCGTGCTGCAGTGCGTCGCCTCGCACCCTGAGACGCGCGTGCTCTTCCTCAACGGTACCCCCTCTCGCTCACTTGTTCCTTGTTATTCTCTCACATCCACCCCCCCCCCCCCCCACCCACCCTCTCTGAACCATTTTACTCGTGTTCATTTGCGCCTGTGTTCTTCCCTCCACGCCCCGCCATGGCATGACCCCCGCCTACCTGCTGCCCCTGTGCTCTTCCCTGTTCCACTCCGCACCTGCTTCCGTCTCCCGTATCCGCGCCACCAACGCGGTTGCCGTGGTACCTCTACACTCATCACGGACTCTAAGCCTCCTTCTACCCTCTGCTCCCACCCCCACCCCGCTCCCCGTTTTCCCCACCTCCCTCCCCTCTCATCAGCGCACATCCCGCTGTACCTGTACCCCTTCCTGAACACAGTCAGCAAGATCAACGTCCCCATGCCCTCTGTTCCCCCCCCCCTGACTCTCTCTCCCCCCACCAGCGCACATCCCGCTATACCTGTACCCTTTCCTGAACACGGTCAGCAAGACGCGCCCCTTTGAGTACCTGCGCCTCACGTCCCTGGGCGTCATTGGCGCCCTCGTCAAGGTCAGTCAACACAAGTCAAGGGCTGAGTTGTGCGGGTCAAAGGTGCTGTCAACAGAGATCAACAGGTTAAGGCCAGTTGTTTTGAAATCAGTAGCAGCAAACCAGCTTATAAGGTCCTTGGATGTTGCCGGTCCGCTGTTCCGACAGCCCGTGTTGATGCTCTCTCACCTCCTCATTCACCATGCACCCATATCTACCCTGGCCCGTCCACTGCGCACCATTCCTATTTCCCGTTCACCATCACTCATTCTTGATCACGTTTGGCATGCCCACTTCAGGTGGACGACACAGACGTGGTGAACTTCCTTGTGTCAACTGAGATCATTCCCCCCTTCCTGCGCACTATGGAGATGCGGTCGGAGCTCTCCTCCAACACCTTCACCTATCACCATTCCTCTGCCTGCACCTCTCATCCCTTTCACCGCACTGGTGCTTCGCCCGCAGGTGGACGACACAGACGTGGTCAACTTCCTGCTCTCAACAGAGATCATTCCGCTGTGCCTGCGCACCATGGAGATGGGGTCGGAGCTCTCCAAGACGGTGGCCACGTTCATAGTGCAGAAGATCCTACTGGACGACGTGGGGCTGGCTTACATCTGCGCCACTGCTGAGAGATTCTTCGCTGTGAGTGCCTGGTTGCTGCTGGCGCACGTGTGTGTGGAGCAGTGCAGAGCTGTTCTGTGCGGTAGGAGGTCAAGAAGGCGTGGTGCATGGTGAAGATGCAAGCAGGAGATACTGAGTGGCTCCAACCTTGAAACAGCAGGGCGCCCTTTACTCCGTCAATTCCTTCCCATGTTCTACTCTACCCCCCTTTCCCCCAGGTGAGTGCCGTCCTAGGCAACATGGTCGCTGCTAGCAGAGCACCCGTGACCCGTCCGTGCGTTTCCTGAAGCACATCATCTTGATGCTACCTGTCTCCTAAACCTCCATCCTTCCCTCCTGTTTCCCTCCTTCTCTCCCCTCCCCCAGGTGAGCGCCGTCCTGGGCAACATGGTACAGCTACTAGCAGAGCACCCGTCCGTCCGCCTCTTGAAGCACATCATCCGCTGCTACCTGCGCCTCTCCGACAACCCCCGGGCTGGCGAGGCCCTCCGAACCTGTCTCCCCGACCTGCTCCGAGACGCCACCTTCTCGGCGTGCCTGCGGGACGACGTCACCACACGCCGCTGGCTCGCCCAACTCCTCATCAACGTCGGCCCTCCACTGCACCAGGCGGGGGGAGGAGGGGGAGGGGGAGTGGGAGGGGGGCCCCCTGGCCCCCCACAGGCGCTGCATGGCGGGGGAGGGAACCCTGTGCATGGGGGGCCAGGTGCGGGTGGAGTGGGGATGCATGGGGGGGGGGGAGCGGGGGCGTTGCACTCGTCATCCCCCTCGCCACTCCATGGGACTTCATCTCCGATGCATGCAGCACAGCGGCCAGGGCAGATGGGGGGACCCATGGGCGTGGTGGGGGGCATGGGCGGGGGCGTGGGGGGGATGGGCCTTCCCCCCATGGACACACTTCCCCCTGTGAACTGAGCAAGTAGCGAGGGTGGTTACCACCATATATCTGTAGTCTTATTCGCGGCTATTTTTAAGACCATGAGAAGAAATAATAGCTCCTTTGCTTGCCTGCCTCACCATGTGCTCCTTTGAGCCAGTGGTGTAGTGATACCGGCTGCAGTGGGAAGTGTAGTTAGGTATGTAGGTAGGTACATTGTGGGGCGACCCAAGGGCCATTTCATTCATTCATTGATACCGTAAGGTGGGAGTCATACTGAAAGGTGGGAGCCATACTGAAAGGTGGGAGCCATTCCATCCCCCTGTACTTGCCTTTCATAATGATATTTTTTTGGACTGCTGCGGTACCCTGGGGGGCAGTCGTTTTCATGGCCCGGCTCAGCTTTTTGCTGGTGTAAGACTGAAAACAAGGGCAACAACACCTGCCTCGGGTACAGCAATGAATGAAACAAAATGGAACTCGGAATGAGGAGAGTGGGTTCTGGGCATTTATTACTTTAGCTTGAACACAGCCTCCCAGTCACCATCAAATAGGCTGTCATCATCATCCTCATCATAGGCATCTCTACTCTTCACAGCCTGCATGGCAGCTAGAGGCTTACTAACAAGAGGCCTTTTCCTCCTCTCCCCACTGCCTCTGCCCCGAGCACTAACGCCCGCAGCTCCCTGCACACTGTCAACCGATGATACCTTGCTGCTCCGTGAATTTCCCTTGTTACTCGACGTGCCTCTGTGCGGTGTGACTGTATGGCGCCCTTCCTCTGCTTTTGGCATTGCAGAGGCAGTCACGCCTGCAGCAGCAGAGCCTGCAGAGCCTTGAGTAGGTGCAGATGCTCTAACTAAAGAGGAGTCAGGTATTCCCAGGGGTTCGGACGCAGCAGAGGATTCTTGTACAGCGGCGTCGGGAGAGTGTTGGAGGGAGCAGAGCTTCTGTTGGAGCAGTTTACTCTTGGGCAGCACTGCAGTGGCGTTGACCCCCTGGGACTCGAAGTAGGACCTCAGCAGAACCTGGGAGGAGGGGAGGGTGGGGGGAGGGGGGTGCGGGGAGGGGGTTGCGTGGTGTGTTGAGGCCAAGGAGGTTTCGAAGTTTGTGAGACAAGTGTGTGAGGCACGGAGGATGGATTGAGAGGCGTGAGGTGGGGAGAACAAGCGAGCAAACAAGCATGCCTTTTAAAGGCGTGCAAGAATCTCGTCACACTTGTGTTGTTAGCCTATTAAGCTTCGTTCTGAGGAGCTGAGGAGGAGCACTCACAGCAGCAGCAAAGGCATCGAGCAGCTCTTGCCGGTCCTTCCTGCCACGACCACTGATGTGATGAGCGGTGGCGGAGAGAGAAGGCGAGATGAGGAGAGGAGAAAGGAGAAGAGCAAAGACGGTTAGCACTTCACACAGGTGACACGCACATGTCTTGTCACCACGACTGGGAAACAGCAGCAGGTTCAGGATGCTGAGGTGGCAGCTTACGATTGGATCATGAGGTCGAGAGCATCTTGTGACGTGCTGTACTCGTCATGTAGGAACACTCTCACCCCCCTGTGATGGCATGGGCATACAGGATAGGTGGCATGAGGCACTCAGGCGACACATGAGAGGCAAGAGAGGCAAGAGAGGCAAGAGAGGCAAGAGAGGCAAGAGAGGCAAGAGAGACAAGAGAGACATGAAGTACTGATGGCAGAAAGCAGGGTATCACCGGCAGCACATGAGTCGCATGGAAGGAAGGGAATGGATATGGCGTGTATTCAAGGAAGCACAGCAACCATGACCCGAACCACACACCACACTCACTGCACATTCACTCCACACTCACTCCACCGCAGCTGGCTTGGCCAGCGATTGTGCGAACTGCCGACACGTGGCGGCCTGTGGGCCCTCGGATCGATCCCACGACACCGGCAGCCCCACCACCAGCTCGTCCGCCCCCTGGGGGGAGGGAGGGGGAAGTAGAGAGGGGGGGAAGAGACGGGAGAGGCGGAGGGAAGGCAGAGGGTTGGGTTGGGGAGAGCCCCACCACCAGCTCGCCCGCCCCCTGGGCGCGGGGGGAGGGTGGGGAGAGGTGGGAGATGGGAGAGCGGGGGAAGATGGGGGGAAGAGGGGAGAGGGGGGAGAAGGGGGAGAGGGGGGAGAGGGGGGAGAAGGGGGAGAGTGGGGAGAGGGGATGGGGAAGACGGGGGAGAGAGGGGAGGGAGGGGGGAGAGTGGGGAGATGGGGAAAAAGCTTGAGGCCAGGTGGGCGATAAGAGACCTGTCTGCCGACTCAACAACTCGACCCCTCCCGTTCGTGCGCACATGAGTTCTGAGGCACCTCAAGAATAACTCGCCCCCTCCGTTGTTGCCCCACCTGCATGTGCATCCATCACCCCCTCGTCTCTCTTCCTCCCCATCCCCTCTCACTCTCCTCACAAATTCTTCTCCTCCTTCGCTCACCCCCTCACCTCATCTCGCGCCAGCTTCAGCAGATCTGCTACAAGCTGAGGGCCCCGTGTCGTCAGCACCTGCATGCTCCACACCACCCAGGTTCGGCGGAACACGAGCAAGGTTCGGGAGGAGAGGGACAGCAGCAGGGCAGCGGGGATGTTGTGCGCGAAGGATGGGTAGGGAGCAGGGAGATGGGTAGGGAGCAGGGAGATGGGTAGGGAGCAGGGAGAGCAGTGGCGGCAGAGCGTGGTGAGGGGGCATGTGACGCGAGGTGGGTGGCATGACCGGAGTGACCCACGCCCCACAGAAGAGCGTGGTGAGCGGGCACGCGCGTGATATGATGAGGCATCACAGGAGTGACCCCCGCCCCTCCCAGCAACAGAGGAGTGGACACCGCAGCAAGGGAGGAATGGCGGCAAGAAAGGACACTTGTGATCGGGCATGGCTCTATGGTCATATACGTTGAGACTCAGTAGTGTGGTGTGCGGTTGACTGACTGGCTTTTGAGCCTCACCTGTGATTGGTCGAGGGGCGAAGCCACTGTAGCTAACTGCCACGCCCGTCCGCCGCCCGCCATAGTCCACTCCCACGCTCGCCCCCGCCCTCCGCCTCCCCCCGCCTCCCCCTTCCCCGCTCCCCGCATCTCTCCCCCCTTCCGCCATCAGCTCCGCATTGCTCCGCGGAGAGGGAATTTCTCCCCCCGCCTGCTGCACGCGGGAGCTTTCTCTCCGCGGATCCGAGCGCGGGTTTGCGCGCTCCCCGCCCACGCGGGGCTCGGGCTCCGCCGCGTCAGCAGCAGGTTGCGCATCTAACGGTTCAGAGGCCTCCTTCCCGGAGTCTCTAACAGGATCCAACGGTTCATGTTCGCTACCGTCTGAGACTCCAAGGGCTGCCGCGATTGGCGCTGCTCTCATGGCGAGGCGCGGTATAAGGCAACTTTCCGCGTGGCGCGCTCCATCTCTCCGCCTACTGCGCGCAACAGGACAGAGCTCCGTCCCCCCCGTGTACCGCGATGCATGAGCGAGCGCGCGGGGCGACCGCAAGAGGGGAAGGCTGGGGGAGAGAGGAGCGACGCGCAGAGGGCGCAGTGTGAGCATTGCGGATGACACGCGGAGAGACGTGTAATGGATGCGAGAGGTGTGTAAGAAGACAGGAGAAGGTTGGGATTGCGCGGACAAGACTGATGGAGGGCAAAAACTCGACTCCACTGGGGATCGAACCCAGAATCTCTGGTTCCGTAGACCAGCGCCTTATCCATTGGGCCATGGAGTCATGTCTGCAGATTGCGTACATATATTTATTGCAAATTTTTTTCATTTTCCATTTCCTGCCGCTCACGTAATCTATTTTCTACCAGTCACGTCTTGTCTCTGCCTGCCATGTGATTTTCTACCAATCACCGCAATCCCACGAGACCCCCCCCCCCCCCCCCCCACATCACACTCACCCATCTGGTCCGTTCCCCCTGATCAAACGTATGTTTTGAGGTTCGGCCGGCACTGATTCCCATGTCACTTTCGCGCACTTCGAACATTAGGGCGCGTTTGTTCCGATCCCAAGTTCGAAAATAGTTCGAACTTTAGGTGGTTACCTGATTCGCCAATCTCGTTACGAGCTTGTGACGACCATCGCGAATTTCAGGCCTAATGAAAGTTCGAACTTGAATTTTGAACATGACTCGACTTGGCGTTGTGAACGTGCGTGAGCACGTTCATGTGAGCGTGTGTGTTTTCGGCACGTACGAACACCATGCGAATATGACGACTTCATCGCGGAACATACAACGGCATTAGATTGACTTGGCGAGCAAGTACCGGGTAACATAAAGTTCGAATTCTGGTGTTCGACCTTGCGTGTGTGATTGCATCTTTGCATTGTTATTCCCGCAATTTTCGAACTTCGCTACAGTGAAAGTCGAATTCCATTCGACTTAGGTTCAAAAAAAATATTTGCCCCCAAAACATGAACTTTGTCCAATTTGACGGAAAGAACGCGCCCTGAGACATCTCAAATCATACCCTCGCTCACCTCGCTCTCGCCCTTCCGTTCCCCCTCGCCTCCCCTTACCCGTGCGCTGCTCCCCCTTGCTTCTCCGCGCGCCCGACTTCGGCAGGGGGGACTCACAGCGCTTCCGCTCCGCCCATCCCGCCGCAACCTCGGCGGAATCCCACCGCACACAGTCCCAGTAACAATTCCATCGCAGTGAAATAAAAATGCTCCGTCCGGGATTCGCGGCGGCATCTGTGGCGGGCGCGGCGTGGGCTAGCGATCCCGCGGAGGCGGACGGGACCGCAGCGCGGGGGGGCGCGTTGGAGGATGCGGGGACGTATGACGTGGCACGCAATGAGAAGTGGGTTTCTGAGGAGAAGGCGCGGCTGCTGACTGTGCAGGTGGGGAGGGGAGGAGGGAGAGGAGGGAGAGGAGGGAGAGGAGGGAGAGGGATGAGATGAGGAGGGAGCGAGGGGATGGGATGGGATGCTGAATGAAGGAAGGGGCGAGATGAAGGGGGTGAGATGAAGAGGGCGAGATGGAGAGGGCGAGATGGAGAGGGCGAGATGGAGAGGGCGAGATGGAGAGGGCGAGATGAAGAGGGCGTGTTGTAATATTGCCGCCATTTCCCCTGTCGCGTGTCTGTATGTGCATGTGCCTGTATGCGCATGTGCATGTACGCACATGTGTGTGTGCCTGCATGCCCATGTGCGAGTGCAGGGCGGCAATGTGCCAGGGGGGCTGCTGTTGACACGTGGCAGCTGGCAATGGGAGGAGAGAGGCCCGTCGCTCTACCGCCTCGTGGGGCACATGAGGTGAGGCGGGGGGAGGGTCTTACGAGGCGAGGTGAGGGTCTTATGAGGTGAGGGGAGGGGAGGGCGATGGGGCGAATGAGGTGCGGCGAGGTGAGGGGCGATGGGGCGAATGAGGTGAGGGGAGGAGAGGACGATAGGGGTCATGAGGTGATGGGAGGGCGATGGGGCGAATGAGGTGAGGGGGGGGGGAGGGGAGGGGAGGGGAGGGGAGGGGAGGGGAGGGGAGGGGAGGGGCGATGAGTTGGGGGTAGGGAGAGCAGTGTGTGCAGATGAGGGGAGGGGAGGGCGTTGTTGGTTGCAGTGCAGCGTGAAGTCTCACAAGTCTCACAAGTCTCACAAGTCTCACAAGTCTCACAAGTCTCCGCCTTCCCTTTCCTCCCTGCCCCTCGCCCCTCACCCAGCTTCCACAACATGAGGCGCAAGCAGGACATATTCCTCCCACATGTGACGGCACGCGTGGCAGTGCTGCTCTCCTCGCACTCCATTCAAGGCATCTCCACCCACGTCTCTGTCAGTGCTACCTCCCCCGCACTCCCTCACACTACCTCTCGCTCTCCCTCACACTACCTCTCCCTCTCCCTCACACTACCTCTCGCTCTCCCTCACACTTCCTCTCACTCTCCCTCACACTACCTCTCGCTCTCCCTCACACTACCTCTCGCTCTCCCTCACACTCCTCAACACTTCCCAATGCTCCCTCACACCTCCACCCGTGCAGCCGCCAACTTCCCCCCATCCGCTCCACTCCACTCAGTTGGTTGTTGAGGCGCCTCAAAAAAGTCCGTCCCTCCCCTCCACTCAGTTTTGTTCCCCTTGCCCATCTTGGTCCTTCAACTCCTCTCTCTCCCCACCCCACCCCACTCGTCTAGTCCTGTCAGTGGGATTCCTCTTTGAATCTACTCTATGATTGCTTAGGCGGCACAGACTTTTCCTCCGCTGTCCACATCTCCTCTGTTCAGTCTGATTAGTCTGATTAGTCTTTCATTCACTGCACCACCTGCCGTGAAACTCCCTCTCGAATCGAACCACCAACAGCGCGGCTGTGAAAACGAAAGATGGTACAGGAGGACAGCAGGTGCACAACGCACAATGGAAACCGCCGAACCAAATAGACGAACAACTTCATCGTTAGCTGCTGTGTCATTCACGCCACGCCACGCCTTTGCCTTGCTGTCGTGTCAATGTGCGCAACACACCTCCCCTCCTCCCCGCCCGCCCGCCCCGCCCGCCCGCCCCTTCTTGACTTGGTGTCATGTGAATGCGCGCAACACACCTCCCCGCCCGCCCGCCCGCCCGCCTGCCCGCCCCTTCCAGATCGCTCCGCGCCATCCGGAAGGCGCGCCTGTTCCCCGAGCGGACGGCTACTGGCCGGCATACATCGTCCGGGCGGGCAAGGGCACAGCCATGGAGGTCACTGTTGAGATCCGGGCGGCAGACTCCGAGGACGCAGCAGATCTTTCCCACCTCAAGGTACTCAGCAGTAAAGCGATGGCAGGGAGGAGAGCCAAAGCAGTCAGCCTAGTCAATTTCCCCTCTTACTCCTGAGCTTGTATCACCAGCCCATGCCTGTCATCTCCCGCCTGTCATCTCCCGCCTGTCATCTCCCGCCTGTCATCTCCCGCCTGTCATCTCCCGCCTGTCATCTCCCGCCTGTCATCTCCCGCCTGTCATCTCCCGCCTGTCATCTCCCGCCTGTCATCTCCCGCCTGTCATCTCCCGCCTGTCATCTCCCGCCTGTCATCTCCCGCCTGTCATCTCCCGCCTGTCATCTCCCGCCTGTCATCTCCCGCCTGTCATCTCCCGCCTGTCATCTCCCGCCTGTCATCTCCCGCCTGTCATCTCCCGCCTGTCATCTCCCGCCTGTCATCTCCCGCCTGTCATCTCCCGCCTGTCATCTCCCGCCTGGTCATCTCCCGCCTGTCATCTCCCGCCTGTCATCTCCCGCCTGTCATCTCCCGCCTGTCATCTCCCGCCTGTCATCTCCCGCCTGTCATCTCCCGCCTGTCATCTCCCGCCTGTCATCTCCCGCCTGTCATCTCCCGCCTGTCATCTCCCGCCTGTCATCTCCCGCCTGTCATCTCCCGCCTGTCATCTCCCGCCTGTCATCTCCCGCCTGTCATCTCCCGCCTGTCATCTCCCGCCTGTCATCTCCCGCTGTCATCTCCCGCCTGTCATCTCCCGCCTGATCTCCCGCCTGTCATCTCCTCGCCTGTCATCTCCCGCCTGTCATCTCCCGCCTGTCATCTCCCGCCTGTATCTCCCGCCTGTCATCTCCCGCCTGTCATCTCCCGCCTGTCATCTCCCGCCTGTCATCTCCCGCCTGTCATCTCCCGCCTGTCATCTCCCGCCTGTCATCTCCCGCCTGTCATCTCCCGCCTGTCATCTCCCGCCTGTCATCTCCCCGCCTGTCATCTCCCGCCTGTCATCTCCCGCCTGTCATCTCCCGCCTGTCATCTCCCGCCTGTCATCTCCCGCCTGTCATCTCCCGCCTGTCATCTCCCGCCTGTCATCTCCCGCCTGTCATCTCCGCCTGTCATCTCCCGCCTGTCATCTCCCGCCTGTCATCTCCCGCCTGTCATCTCCCGCCTGTCATCTCCCGCCTGTCATCTCCCGCCTGTCATCTCCCGCCTGTCATCTCCCGCCTGTCATCTCCCGCCTGTCATCTCCCGCCTGTCATCTCCCGCCTGTCATCTCCCGCCTGTCATCTCCCTCCCACCATTCCCCGCCCACCATTCCCCGCCCACCATTCCCCGCCCACCATTCCCCGCCCACCATCTCCCTGTCCTCGCGTTCCGCCCACCAGGCGGCCAGGCTGGACGTGCATTACCCGGCGTACGGGCCACATGGCAGCCTGCCATTGGTGCAGCACGTCATCCTGCCCCTCGCCTTCCCCCCCTGCCCGCCCCCATCCGCTCCCCACGCCCCTACCTGGCGCAGGTACGTCCTCGCACCTACTCGCCCACTCCCATGCTCCTCCCCTCCCCTTCTCCCATCCGCACTCCCGCCTGCTCCACACCTCCACAATTGCCTTCTCCCCCTGCCCGCCCCCATCCGCTCCCCACGCCCCTCAGTGGCGCAGGTATGCCCCTCAGTGGCGCAGGTATGCCCCTCAGTGGCGCAGGTATGCCCCTCAGTGGCGCAGGTATGCCCCTCAATGGCGCAGGTATGCCCCTCAGTGGCGCAGGTATGCCCCTCAGTGGCGCAGGTATGCCCCTCAGTGGCGCAGGTATGCTTTCGCCCCTACTCGCCCTCTCCCATGCAGGTATGCCCCTCCCTCTGCTCTCGCCCCTGTTCGCCCTCACCCCTACTCCCCAGTTTCCCTGCCCCTCTGCTCCCATCCGCGTTCACCTCTGCTCCCATCCGCGTTCACCTCTGCTCCCATCCGCGTTCACCTCTGCTCCCATCCGCGTTCACCTCTGCTCCACTCCACCCCATCTGAATCCCCCCCCAACCACCCCTCTCCCACACAACAGCATAGCAGCGGGCATATCAGTGCTGGCCGTCCCAACGCACCTGCTGTGCCACCTCGACGACCCGCTCCTCGTGCTGCGCCAGTGAGACTCGCCCCTTGCGCTCTCGTGCACCCATGCTCACTCTCACTCTTATTCTCATTCTCATTCTCACGCACTACCACCCAAGTCTAGTTAGTTCAGTTTGACCCATCGGTCTGTGACGCCAGCTTGTTGAGATCACAACTCACCACATCTCACTTCCTCACAAGCTTCACCACCATCCTGCACCGCACTGCACCGCTCTCCATCCCATCCCATCCCGCCCACGCCAGCTACGCAGCCCCGTATCTGCAGCCGGGCGACGTGGTGACACTTGGCGAGACGCCATTGGCCATCATGCAGGGCGGCTTCCGCCACCCGGACTCCGTGCCCCCGGGCCTCCTTGCACGCTTCGCCTGCCTCTGCTTCCTCCCCGCCTCGTCTCTTGCTACGGCTTGCGGCATGCAGGTGCGCGTAGGGGTGGTTGTGGCAGTGCCTAGAAACTGGATTGTGTGAGTGGTCGCTGCCCCTTTTTCCCTCACACCACCAACACGTATGCCCCTCCCCTTACCCTCCTTCGTGCCCCTCCCGACAGGTGCTGATAGACCTGGTGGGGGTGGTGCGGGTGGTAGTGGCGGTGATAGTGGCAATACTGGCGCGGCTGCTGCTGGGGAAGAGGGGCGTGTTTTACCAGCTGGCAGGGTACCAGGCGCGACTCATTGACGACATCACCTGCACTCTGCCTCCTTACGACCAGTTCATCACCCTTGGGCCCGTGAGTCTTTCTCCTCTCCATACACGTACCTTTGTAAGGCGCCTCAGAAGGCGCGTGTAGGCCCATACACTCACAGCCGCACCCTCCCCCCCTACACCAGTTCATCACCCTCGGCCCCGTGCGTGCTGTTTTTCTCTTCCGCTACCCTTCCTCACTATTCAGCTGAGCGTGCACGAGACAGTGAAGGGCCTGAGTGCGAAGCTGGGGTGTGCCGTGGCGGTGGTGGATGTCAACGACCTCAAGAAAGTGAAGATCCTCGCTGTGAGTGCTGCCACACTTGCATGGGTGGTGAACAGTTGCGAGAGGTGAAGAGTGATGCAGCTGGGCTGTGGTGGTGCATGTCAGTAGGTTCAAGGGAGCACGGATATTCACAGTAGGGCCTCTCGAGTGGTGCATGGATAGTGAGCATCGAAGGGATGATTGAGGATTCAAGTAACCAGGCCATATCTCTTGCCCCATGCCCCATGCACATATCTTTTGCCGCATTCTCATGCCCCCATGCCCCATGCCCCCATGCCCCCATACCCCATGCCCCCATGCCCCATGCCACCATGCGCCATACCATGCAGGTGACAGCAGGGGTGGACCATGGGAGGCTCACAACAGCGCTGCTGCCCAACCCAGCAGGTGAGCTGCTGCCCTGGCCGCACTCGCGCAGGTTGTGAGGGGTTCAGTGCGGTGCAGAGAGAGTGTTTCCTGAGGCTGTGACACTGGTGTGCACCTGTCAGGTGGGCAGAGGTGGGCAGGAGGGAAGCTCAGGGTGCATGCAGGGGTGAACGATTGGTTGTTGATTGGTTGTGCAGCACAGCCCGTGCTGTTGAGTGTGAGTTGACTCACCCTGCCTGGCTCACCATGCCGGGGTGTGTGAATGCAGGGAATGCGGATCAACAAACCCCAATTGTCATCGTGCGGGGATGCAGCAAGCCATGAGAAGGCCATGAGGAATGATTGCCAGCACACCATCATCGTGCAGACGTTAGAGTACCATGCCAGTATGCAGTACCATCCCCGTATCGTACTGTATTGTTGGTTACGACTGATGATTCTCCGTGGTTCCAGTGAAACATGCGACTGTAGCAATGGGTACGACTTAACGGTAGTAGAATCGAAGCACTGATTATGCTAAATGAGGAAACCCTGCAGAACGTTCCAAGGTGAACGTTAGCTAACTACCAAGCATTCCTTGCCAACTCAGCAATGACGGGTGAAAGGGCAAGTAATTGCCCAGGCTGTACAAAAATTTTAGGTTCTGTTTCCTCTACTCTTTCAATTTCTCCTGACGGGTATAATTCCCGCCAAGGTCTGATTGGTCAGAATTCTTTGAGCTGAATGGTCGAAATTCGCGCACATCGAATCTCTCGCCGAAATTCAATTGTGCATTTGCGAATTGCCGTTCAGGAACAAACCTCTGCACCGCACCAGTCGCACACCTCTTCGCTGCACGTGTGGACGCGATGTGACACGCACGATCTTCGGAAGATAGTTTCTGTTGCGTCCGCAAATGCTACAGAAGTACAGTAGTGGCTGGGCCCTTCGTGCACGAGTTTCCTTTGTCCAGCTGCGCGGAAGCTCCTACTTGCGCGCATGCACATGACGGTCTCCTGGAAAAGATCTCTGAGTGATAATTATCTCCGTCTGCCATGCCTCCATTTCCTGCCGTTTACGCCATGTCTCCAGACTGCATGACCCCCATGCCTTTATCCCTCCTCATCCGAAAAAACCCCACCCCAAATTCCTACGCAAAAGATACTTTCGAAGTTGCTTTGGGGTTGCTGTTGGAAAGGTACACAAGATGCTCACCCCATGCGCGCGAATTTGCCTTGCGCCGGATGGACACGCTGCACCCGAGGTTGTTTCCCCAGCTTCATGCACCCACATTACAAGCGCGTCAAGCAGAAGAGACCGAAGTCAAGCAGAAGAGACTGAAGTCAAACTAGGTAACTAGGTAGCAGGGTCTTGTTTATAAGCACATGCGAATTATTTTTAGCTAGCTGCGAAATTGACGAACTTATGCGAACCGCACGATACAGCTTATATGCCCCCTTCACAAGGCAACCGGGAGGGGCTCAAACAGGCATCAGGAGTATCTCTGGGAATGCCGGTCATGATTCTTCTCTAGGTTTGGAATGCAGATTCGCGCGAGTACACTCCCACGATTCAGGAACCAACCAGCCTGCACCTGTTTGTGGCTCGGGGGTGATGGCTAGTGGAGCTCCCACAATTGTGGAAGTTGTTCGTCTCTCTACGATTGGTCGATCACAGGTGCAATTCAAGTGTTTCGCCAATAAAATTAGGGTTGCAAACCCGTCATTGCTGTTCATGTAGCGAGACGTTGTCTCGCTCTAAATTTCAGGGTGCAGCTGTTACGATATGTGCGATTATTTATTTGAGATTGTCACTAAAGTGTTATAGCGAGCTTCAGTTACAATTGATAGCTACACCTCTCATAGACATGGTTTAGGCTCACCGTTAGGTTGCATGATCTATAATTTATAACAGCCACATACGATATTTCAATATTTTTCAGTTTCGTTAATAATTGTTCACAGATTCAGCAAAAATGAGTTCACAAATTACTAATAAAACCGGGAGAAATATACAAAACTTCGGGGACTTACCACATGTTCAGTAACAATTTCAGTACTTACTAATACAACAGAACAAGCTCCATTGCAGACAAAAAAAAAACAAACAAACAAACAAATGCATCTAATGCTAGTATCAATTACAGGCTGCCTATTGCTAACATTGGCAAGAAACACTCCCCGTTGTTCCAACGTCTGTGCGGGTGAATAGGTAGTGGCCCTTGTCAGAATCCCAACCACTAGACCATTGGGATAAAAGGGCTTGTTTCAGTAGCGGGTCATTGCGACCCTAACCCCGTAGGCGAACGCGCCTGTAACCCTCTCCAGGATCAATCGGGCATCCACAGTGCAGATCTACTGACACCCCCCCACACTGGGAGGCCTAGGACTAAGCACAGCGGCAACGGCCTACATGTGCATATAGCGGGAAACGAACCCGAGACCGCTCTGATACCATGTCGAGAAAGTTGAGAAGGAGAATGTGATGCAATATCAAGAGTTGAGATACAAGTACAACACCCTAAATTGGGTTGTACTCATTACAGAGTACCCCACTGCAGGCTAGACAGCAAATACATTCTGACACACCTTCCATAACCAAAGTGGGGTGTAATCAGCACAATGAGCAAGCATAGAGCAAGAGTTCACAATAGGTAAGTAAGGCTAGAGCTAATCACAGAGGGCAAGTGAGGAAGAGGAGAGACTGTGGGGGGAGAGAAGATGGGAGGCGACTGCTGACGCTGCAGACACACAGACGAGCTGCGGGCTCAGTGGCTACCGGAATAGCGCTCCGGACTACTGGGGTAACTGGCCCCGCGGCTAAAAGTAGCGGCAGACGAGCAACGGACCCACGGGCGACTGGCGACTACCGTAGATTGTAGCCTCCGGACTGCTGCTACTGCTGACGACAAGACTGCTGCCTCCACTCAACCTCCCCCAGCTGCCCAACGCCCCTCTCACATACCCCCTGCTCAAACTTTAGCCCTACACCCACAGCACCCCCTTAAACCCTAAACCCCAGACTCCCACACATCCACCCCCCTCAGCGAGAGCTGCAGCAGTGGGAGACGAAGGAGGAGGAGGAGGAGGGAACGGCACGCACAACCGACACCCCCACAACCATCACCCCCACACCCACCCCCCCACGGCTGCACCGGGTCCAGGAGCGGCTGTTGCAGGGGCCAGGGGCGGCTGCTGCTGGGGCGGCTGTTCCAGGGGCTGCTGCTGCTGGGGCGGCTGCTCCAGGGGCTGCTGCTGCTGGGGCGGCTGCTCCAGGGGCTGCTGCTGCTGGGGCGGCTGCTCCAGGGGCTGCTGCTGCTGGGGCGGCTGCTCCAGGGGCCGCTGCTGCTGGGGCGGCTACTCCAGGGGCTGCTGCTCCAGGGGCTGCTGGTGCTGGGGCTGATGCTGCTGGGGCGGCTGCTCCAGGTGCTGCTGCTGCTCTGGCGGCTGCTCCAGGGGCTGCTGCTGCTGGGGCGGCTGCTGCTGGGTCGGCTGCTCCAGGGGCTGCTGCTGCTGGGGCGGCTGCTCCAGAGGCTGCTGCTGCTGGGGCGGCTGCTCCAGGGGCTGCTGGTGCTGGGGCGGCTGCTGCACTAGCGGCGGCTCCAGGGGCTGCTGCTGCTGGGGCGGCTGCTCCAGGGGCTGCTGCTGCTGGGGCGGCTGCTCCAGGGGCTGGTGCTGCTGGGGCGGCTGCTCCAGGGGCTGCTGCTGCTGGGGCGGCTGCTACTGGGGCGGCTGCTCCAGGGGCTACTGCCGCAGGGGTGGCTGCTTCAGGGGCTGCTTGCTGCTGCGGCGGCTGCTTCAGGGGCTGGTGCTGCTGGGGCGGCTGCTCCAGGGGCTGCTACTGCTGGGGCGGCTGCTGCTGGGGCGGCTGCTCTAGGGGCTGCTGCTGCTGGGGCGGCTGCTCCAGGTGCTGCTGCTGCTGGGGCGGCTGCTCCAGGGGCGGCTGCTGGTGCAAGGTAGGCCGCTCCAGGGGCGGCTGCTTCAGGGGCGGCGGCTCCTGGGGCGGCTGCTGCAGCGGAAAGTAGGAGGGAGGGGAGGGGAATGTCAGAACATATAGCTTACTTGTTTCTGTAGGCTATAGTGGGGTATCCCATAAGGGGTACAACCCA